CTCATGATACTGGTTGGTTAGGAAAGCCACCTTCTCAGTGTGAGCAGCATGAAGACGTTCCAGATCGCTCATCTCCTGGTTCTCCTTGCCTTGCCCGTCGAGCAAGCTGGCAGCGGTGGTAGCAGTGTTGGCGGCAAGCTTGGAAGCATTGAGCGCCAGCTCCTTGTTGGCAGCTTCGAGGGCTCGTTCCGCCTCGTCTAGCTTGTCTTGAAGATCCATGAGCTTTTTGAGATCCTGCAGACCCTTCTCGCGGAAGGGAACGAGTGCCTCCTCATGCTTTTGTGTGAGCTGACCGACCTCTTCGACGTGCTTCTGCATCAGAGCCTCCTTGTCAGCCGTGTGTTGCAACGAGATGGCGTCAAGCTGCTCGGCGAATGCAGTCTGTGATTGATTGTGCGCGTTGCGGACTTCTTCCAGCTCCTGCTCCAATTGTTCGATCTTCGTTCGCAGAGAAACAGTCTCGGTCGAGCTGGCAGCAGCTGAGTCCGAGACAGCTCGCTTGACTTCATCCTTGGCTGAAGCGAGCTCTGCTTCAAGCGCTTTGACACGTGCTTCGCTAGCCTCTTTCTCGGTTTGCAGCTGGGCACACGTATCCTTGATCTTCTTGAGATCGCCTTGTGCGGCGCTAAGCTCCATTTGAACGCGCTTGAGGTTACCAGCGTGTCGCTGGTCAGCTTCGGACAACGCTGTGGCATGACTTACCTTGACTGCCTCCAATTCATCAGCGTGAGATTTGCGCATCTGCTCGACCGTCTTAGACGACTGCTCCTTGAGGCTCTGCAGATCGGTCGAGTGATTGTCACCAGCTTCGGCTCGTGCCTTCTCGAAAGCGTCCATGACCTTCTGGTCGTGCTCCGCTTTGACCTCGGCAACTTGAGCAGCATACTTGGCTTCCTGACCTGCAAGTTGTGTCTTGACCTGTTCGAGAGTCTGCTGCAACTCCTTGACACGCTTTTCAGCGGCATCGTTGCGAGAAGCAAGTTCAGAAGCGTGCTCGTCACGCGTCTGCGAAAGCGTAGTCTCGAGTGCAGTCGCCAGGGTAGACAGCTCTTGAGCATGTCGCGACGCGTCCGCAGCTCGAGCCTCTTCAAGAGCAGACTCGTGCTCCTTTTGCAACGCAGCGCGGGTCTTCTCCTCGACCTCACGTCGGACCGCATCGAGTTCACTTGCCTTCTCCTCATCGTGCTTGGACTTGGCTTCTTCCAGTGCGCGCTCGAGTGCCTTAGCGTGCTCCACCGAGAGCTCACGACGTGCGTTGCTGACAGCGTCTTCCAGAACGGCTGCATGCTTCTGCTCCGCTTCAGCACGGGCTTGTTCGATCGCCTGGGTGAGCAACTCGCCGTGCTGGGTCTCGATCGCGGCTCGCTCTTGCTGCTGGTCTTGCTTGGCCTTCGCGAGAGCCGCCGCCTCTGCCGATGCCACAGCTTCAGCTAGCTTGGATTCGAAGGTGGTTGCATTGCTCTTGATCTGGTCTTGGAGCTCCTGGTTGCGTTGTTGCAGCTCGGCGAGTTCCGAAACCTGCTTTTGGAGTTCCTCGTTCTGTTTTTTGAGAGTCTTCAGCTCAGAAGCCTGCTCCTGAAGCTCGCCGTTCTGCTGTTTGAGGGGGATGAGTTCGTCTGCCTGCTTCTTCAGCTCCTCGTTCTCCTTCTTCAAGGCGACAAGCTCTTCAGCCTGCCCTTGCAACTCCTCCTTGCTCTTCTTCAGCGCGATGAGCTCGGCCTCCTTGTCGGCCAAGCTCGAAGCACCTTGTTCGCCAGCTGCGCTTGCTTCAGAGGCCTTCTTCTGCGCATCCTGCAACTGTGCCTTGATTTCGTCGAGCTCAGCCTGCAGCTTGTCGCTCTGGGAAACCAAGGCTGCTTCCTTGTCGCTGGCCTCTTTGGCAGCAGCAGTAGCGGCAGCAATCGCGGACTCGTGAGCCTGGCGCTGTTCAACGAGCTCCTTCGATGCAATATCGCCATCGCTGACCTTCTGCTCATGCTGGAAAGACAATTTCTCGATCTGCTTCTGGAGCTCGGCCATGCTGCTCTTTGCGGCCTCGGCTTCCTCGCGAGCTTGCTTGGAGTTGAGCTCATGTTCTTCTATCTTGTTGAGACTTGCGTCGAGCTGCTGTTTCAAGTCTGCGAGGGCTGCAGCCTGAATTTGATCGCCCTCCTTGGCGCTTTTATTTTGAGCAGCCGAGGCGCTATCCAGTGCCGAACGTGCCTCTGTCAGCTTCGACTCCAGGTCGTCGATCTTGCTCTGCGCAGCTGCGATGGCCTCCTCCTTCTCAGCCAAAGCCGAATCTTGCTGGGATGCTTGGTCGGAGCGCTGCTTATCCTTCGAGCCAATTTGGACCTTGAGTTGCTCGATCTCAGCTTCAAGCTCTTGGATGCGATCTGAGGAGTCTGCGGTCGGTTCAGCGTCGTCCTTGGCCTCGGCCAACTTGGCTTCTGCAGCAGAGAGTCTGACAGTCTTGGCCTGCAGCTCTTCGTCCTTAGTCTCCAGGTCGCTCTTGAGTTGGTCAAGCTGGTCGCTCTGCTCAGCAAGTTCGGCCTCGAGCTTGGCCACCTTGTCTTGCAGGTCCTTCACCGCAGACATCGCGGAAGCTCCGCCCGGCGCAAGGCTTCTACGAGCGGCGGCAGCAGCAGTGGCGGAGGAAGCAGCGGCGGTGGTCGCACCTGCCCGTGCTGTGGGAGCCAAGCTGGATCGTGCCACCGACGCGGGTCGAGCAGCTGCTCCCGTGTTGCTTGTGCCGTTGCTCGTTATAGAGGCACGTCGAGCAGCAGCGGTAGTGGAGGTGGCAGCACCACCCGATGAGGCGCTTGAGCCAGCCACCGAAGCCCTCTTTGCTGCAAGGGAAGTGGCGGGCGCAGCAGCACTCGACGACACGGGCGGCCTTCGGGCAGCGGCAGCAGAGGCAGCTCCAACAGGCCTACGCACGGCGGCAGTGCCAGTGGAAGCGGTCGATGCGGTAGTTGAAGCGGCTCCAACCGGCCTGCGTGCAGTAGTAGCGCCAGTTGCGCTCACCGTTGAGCGAGCAGGCGAGGCAGGCACCATAGAAACTCGTCGAGCTGCTGCTGTGGCTGCGGTTCCGGTCGCTGCGGTTCTAGCGGCTGTACCTGCTGCGGAAGGTCTAGCTGCGGTGGTGCCTGCTCGTGCTGTGCCACTGGTTGCGGTTGTACTGCTTGGAGCCAAGCTGGCTCGGGCAGTGACTCCTGGGCGAGCGGTGACCGTGCCTGCCGTGGTCGTGCCGGGTCTGGACGCGGTTGAGGCAGCAGAGGAGCTTCTGGGTGCGGTCACACTTGGTCGTGCTGCATCACCTGGACGAGCTGCACCCGTCGCAGCAGTGGTGGTGGTCGATGGTCTGGCGGTAGCGGCGCCTGTCACGGAGGGTCGGGTTCCGGGCACGGCTCGACGAGCTGCGGTTGCAGAAGTAGCGGCTGCACCAACAGGACGACTTGCGGTGATTGGCGTCGCACCGACTTTTCCAGCAGCAGGACGTGTAGGTGTTGCGGTAGGCGTTGATTGGGCTATGCCCTTCGCTTCCTCGACCTCTGCTGCATCTTCTTCGTTGTTCTTGATGTCACCTTCGGGCTCGTCAGCTTGTTCTACGGCTTCTTCGTCTGCTACAAGCTCCCCACCTTCCTTTTCAGAGGATGTGTGGTCACTCTCGGCAACAGCGCCGTCTAAGGACACCTCGCCGTCAGCAGGTGATTGCTCTAGCTGATCACTGCCTTCGTGTTCCTCGGGCATGGTGTCGTCAATGTATTCAGCGCCGTCGATGTCGTTGTTGTACTCTTCGGCGTCCGACATGCTTGAAGATGCCAATTGCTGTTGAGGAGAAGGGATGAGAAGGGTATTGATGATGGTGTAGGGGCTGAAGGGACCGCGCAGGGAGGGAGACAAGGCGTTTAAGCCCAAGCACTGTGCCTGCGTGTGTTCACCTGAACGTGTGTGTGTCTTTGTCTCTTTTTGCATGTGATTTCCGAGAAGTGTCACTTTCGAAGTCACACACGCGTTGAGTTGTTCCCTGTGGAAGCAGGGCTTTTCGCCATAAGTAACGGAACAAGTGCAAAAAAACAAAAACAAAAAAAAACAAAAAAAAAACAAACAAAAAACAAACAAACAAAAAACAAACAAACAAAAATTATATCAGGCCCTACGGCCTAAGTTCAATCGCATCGAGAAGAAAAAAGGAGGGAAAAAGTATGTACAAGGTTGAAGAGAAAGGGGGGGTCTCCTTGGCCAAGGGCGAACTCCCAGAGAGTGCACAAGCCGTCAACAGTGGGTCCCCATAGAGAGGTGACTTCCCGGTGTTTGGGCGAGAGAGTCGTAAGCCAGAGCAACAGATCATGGTCTCTGAAAAGTAGACCAATGGTCAGGAGATAGAATGGGAGGAGTGCAAACGCGGGGTCAGAAGAAGCGTTGAAGCCATGATCGTGAGAGGAGCAGTGGTTGTGAGAGTAGCTTATGTCGTCCTGGAGATCGTTTTTTAGAGGCAGGGTCTGCTCTAACCAAAGGTAGTCGTATAGCAGGAGCTTGAGTCTCTTGATGCAGATGTGGCCCGCGTGTGGTACGCACGATGCACCAAGAGCAAAAGGAGCCGCCGTCGTGACCAGGCTCTCCAGAGCTGTTGCTGAGAGGGGTATGGGGGAGTCGTGTTGCTTGATCATAACGTAAGAGGTGCTGGTTTTGCCCATTGCTATGCTGAGCTCCCCAGCGTCGCCAAGTGGCGAGGCTTGCGAAAGTCGCGGTTTCATTGAGGCGAGCTCGAGCCGTTTGCGGATGGATGGATGCATGGATGGATGCGGAGGTTGCGAAGGTGGCGTTCGAGCTTGCAAAGGTGTCAAGTGATTAGAGGCGACGCCTAATGACGACCAGTTACACCATCTCAAAATTTGAGTTATAGCATAACTCTTCCATTTTCCGATAGATCTTGCTCCAGAAAGTTGGAAGGGGTGCCCCTCGGTCTTCCGCGTTCGTAGGTTCGAGTTTCAGGGATGTTCTGCGAACAAAAAAAGAGAGTCCTACGGGGATTGAACCCGCGACCTGCAGAATACCCTTAAGGTATCTTCGAATGTGAGAACCGAAGTCTGCCGCTCTACTGCTGAGCTAAAGACCCTTTCTGGGACCCTTAACAGCTAATTGTAATTATATACTCTGATACGTTTCGTCGCCCGGTAGACTATGACCTCGGAAGCAGCAAAAGAAGAGGCTTGCAGGTCTAAAAGATTTTTGATTATTTTTGATTATTTTTTTCTTCTTTTTCCTTTTTTCCTTTTTTCCGGATGTCAAGACAGCTGTCTCTCTTGATCACTCTATATCTTCCTTCCACCATCACCGTCCAGTCCATCAAGAAACCATTCTTATCGAGTGCCTTCATCGTCGACCTGATTGTTTGTGACCATTCCTTGTTCAGCCTTCTGCGCCGTCAACATTCTCTCACACCCATCACACCACCACGTCGATCTGTCTCTGTTCCCTCCCCTCTCTCCTTCCGATCCCTCAGCTTCATCGTGAGTCAGCTGCCCTTATAATAGAGTCCATTCGATGGCATCCACATCTTATGTGACGGGACAACCTGGGCTACAGCAGCGAATCATCACGGCATATCGTCGTTGCATCAACCTTGTCATAACTATCCGGCTCGTCCTCCTTCAGTGGATGACTCGGCTGAATGACCTGGAACATCTCTTCACTCTTCATTATCAACTTCTACGCGCGGTTTGTAAGCGCTACGATTGCAATTAGAGATGGCTGTCAACAGTGCAGGACATGGACAACTTCCCATATCAGTGTGTGCTTAGACTATCTTAGTGGGATTAAATATCAACCTCGAGTGATTGGACTTGCATTTTGACAAGATACAGAGCTCGGGCAAGCGCCTGTGCATTTGCTAGTGCGGGATGCTTCTCTGCTGGGTTGCCGTGAGCAAGCTGTTGCTGTGCGATGGGATGAACCACTGCTGCACTTGCCGCTGTAGAGCCGGACGGGGTCGCATTGGATCCCTGCGCTTGCGTTGTCGGAAACCCAGACATGAATGGCCACTGGAAATTCAAAGGATCTCCATTGCCATTTCTATTTGGCCCACGATTGTTCTCTTCACCCGGGCTATCCTGATGCCTTCTTTGCTCTGCATCTTCTCCAGCTGTCTCTCGCAGTTGGGCATCCGAGGCAGATCGCTTGATCCCGACAGATCGCTGAGGGTTCTGGCTGATGCCATACTCGCCAGGAGCCGAGTGGAAAGAGTGACTGGTGATACGGAACATGTAAAGCTGTACAAACTTCTCCGTCGTCTCCAACAATGACTCTGCTTCTTTGGCCATGAGAAACGTCTCCCTACGCTGAATCAGCAGCAGAAGCAATCCAGCAGCATGGCCAAGCAACCAGTGATAGAACTGTGGCAGATACAAGAGCTTTTCGCCAAACTCAGTGGTTGCAAGCTTTAACGCGAAAAGGGCTGAATGTTTGGCGGTGGAGATCGTACGAAGCTGAGCAATGGACAGACGGGAGAATTTGGGCGAATTGGCGTTGGAGGCGATCTTGAGCGCATGCTGAGTCTCGTTCAAGATGTCAAGCTCCGGATCCAGAGGGTGGGAAGCAAGGAAGGTACGAGAGAGATGATAGAGCAGAGACAGGTCGATCGACTCAAGTGAGCTGTCTGACAGGTCAGAGTACTGTGAAGTCAGCAAACGCCATCGATTCAGCTCTTCCAACCACTCGCGCCAACGCTCTGCCAGATGAGATGCATCGAACAGCCTGGAGTCCTTGGATCCCGAGTTTGCTGGCTGTTGTTCGGAGGGTGTTGACTTGTTGGAAGCCACGGCAGCACGTGCTGAGCGGTGCAGGTCTTGAGCAGCAAGCAGGATCGACATCATGCGTGCATGCGCAACCAGCTGTCGGTCTGAAGCGACAGAGCCAATACCGCCTGCTGGGTCGCTTGAAGCCGGCAGCGCGGTTGAAGAAGTGGACTGTATTGAGCTGGGTGTGCCATCGACAGCACTGAATGCTTCCCTCTTTGCTGCTCCGTCTCCATTCGCGAGATTGCTAGCCAGATCTGCGCTATGGCTGCTTGCATTGAGCAGACCCTGACAGTAGTGAGCCGGCTGACTTTCAGGGAACAAGCTGGGCTTGTTGTTGATGACGGCCTGTTGCGCTTCTGTGATGTACGACATAAGCCAGATCCGCAGCTTGCCGACGAGGTCAATCTGTCGGAACGGCGGGAGGATGGTCATCCACTCTCCAAGGGTCTGTGCAGAGCGGACTTCAAAGTGCTCGAGGTAGCCTATGGCCCAATAGCGAGCCAAGCGCGCAATCAAGAGTGCGGTCTGGCCACCAAGCCACGACGCTGCGATGCAGGCGCCTGTAATTTCTTCGACACCGATGCCGAGTTCTGGATCGAGAGGAGCGTGGCGATCGATCGACTGGTCCAGAAGCAAGGGCGAAGAGAAAGCTTCGTGGCGAATGCGCTCGAAGAGTTGGCGTGAGTTGGGCTCGTGCATGGATGAGACCATGAGAATGCATGCGATGATGAGCGGTGTCATCTCTTCCGATGCTGGATAGGTGGGGAAGCCAAAGCAATGAGGCTGCAAGTACCGTGCAAAGAACTTGAAGAGGTGACGAGCTTGATCCATAGACACAAGGCCCATAGAAATGACTGTGAGTCGAGGGTCGTTGCGTCCGATGTAGTGAGATGGTTTCGCATAGGGTGACGCGGGGGGAGCACGTGATGCTAGCGACCGTGACTTGGCATCTGCAGGGTTGTTGTAGGGTTGGTGAGCAGCATAGATAATGGAGGACGGACGGCTCTGCCCGGGCTCTAAGATAGGCGCAGGTTGATGGAGTGGTGGCTGCGGTGGGCGACGAGGGCCCGAGGCGGTCGGAGACGCACCAGCGGGATTGCGGTGCGAGGATGCAAGATGAGGGGCGGGGGCGTGGACGTGGGCGGATGGCGGGAAAGCCACGGCTTCGGAAAACTGATCGTGATGTGCCGAAGACGGAGGCAGTGGCGGCGGTGGTAGGTGAGGATTGTGCAACGGTCGGAAGGATTGTGAGGTCGAAGACGGAGACCGGTAAGGACGATGGGCCGACATCGGACCGGATGACGAAGGTGAGGAGGCGGAGCGAAGATGGGTATAATCTGGACTTAGAAGGCCAGCAGCACCATCGAAGCCCAAATACGTGGTGGACGAAGGTCTTCCGTGTGATCCAGATGCGTGGTGAGGTAGTATGGGCTCTGGCGGTGGTGTGGGAACATGTTCGGCATTCGGTGCAGACTGATATGGACGTGCTTGCCAGGGATGCCCTAGAGTCCCTCTTGCAGGTGGCAGAGGCGGCCGGTAGAGACTAGCAGGATGATGTGACTTGCGCGGTGAAGGAGCAGATATGGGAGAGCTGGTCGAGGCGGTTGTGTCTGATCGCCTTTGGTCCAGCTGCTGCTGCTGTTGTTGTACGAGCCATTCCACGCTTTCGCCGAGCTTGCTAAGAACCTCATCAGTACGTTCTCGCCAAGTCTCATCATCTGCTCGAAGTCGGAACTTGCACTGAGCTTCATGATTGGTGTCCTTGCACCGCTTGCAAGGAGGAGCGCCATCGTGGATGCACTTGACCTTGGAACGTCGACACAGTACGCAGGCCTTTTGAGGCTTCACTTCGATGGGTGGCAGTGATGATAGTGAGGAGAAGGAAGCATCTCGATTGACGTTGACAGAGCTTGATGAGCCAGGAGGGTCAATGTATTTGGCCGGTGATGCAGCGGAAGCGGGTGATGTCGATTGTGCAGAATCCAAGCGCGATACTGACGCTCTAGCTTTGGGCGGCATTGTTCACCGCTAGCGAACAGGGGACGCACTATGAAGAGAGAGAACGGCTGCCAAGCCCGAGAACCTTGATTGTTGGCAGGGTGGGAGAATAGTCGAAAGGAGCTAGGCGAGCAGATCAGCTGTATGACATGGTGCCGTGATGAAGCAAGGACGATGCAGTTGCTTGATGTCTCGTCATCGTACCAAATGAAATGATGCAGTTCCGATCCGGAGAAGCCGGAACAGTTGAGTGTCAGTCGACCCTGACTCGGCTGCTTTGCCGGAAAGCTCAACAAGCGCTTCTGGAACTCACTTTTTCTTTTTTTTCTTTTTTTTTTTTTCTTTTTTTTTTTCTTTTTTTTTTGGCTTAAGCGCAACTGTAACACATTGGACAGCTTTTCGGAGTCATGTCGAGTTCATTGACTCACTTCTTCTCCGTTCTTGACTCTGCTTCATCACTGCGTCACAACACACACACACCTTCACATGCCCTAAATGAGCGGACCGGGCGGCAAGAGTCTTCGACTCAGCTTCAAAGGCGACAAACCAAAGAAGCGCAAGCGAAGCGGAGAAAAGTACAGCAACGGCGAATCTTCATCGAGCTCTCAAAAGCGTAAAGCTGGCCGAGACGTAACTTCGGATGTCGAGGACGTCGGTGGAGACGAGCAAGCATGGGTCGCTGTCGAGTCAGAGCTTGACCTCACTGGTCCATGTTTCATCTTTCGGAAGGCGTTGAGGGAGCTGACTGCTCCTTTTCATTGCGTCGCCTTTCAACCAAGCCTGCAAAGTGTCGAAGCAGCTACGATCCTTCCAGGGTCCGACGCAATTACGACCGATGAGGATCGAGTGACGCTATTGGCTTCCAACCCAAAACTCGCGGAGGAGCTCGAGGATGCTGAGATTGTACCATCAGCTGAATCGTCTGGCATCGACACTGCTACAATAACGCCGCAGTCAGTGTATCAAGTATGGGTAGCTACCAAGGTGCCCGGCAGCTCTTCCCCAGCACACTTCACTTTCAAGAGCGCCGAGGGCAAGTTCTTGGGAGCTGACAAAATCGGCTCGCTGCAAGCATCGATGGCGGCGAGAGGTCCGCAGGAGAAGTGGACGCTGGAAAGGTCGCTGGATGCATCGGGCCAAGTAAAGTGGTCGCTGCGGTCCGTACATAATCGATATCTCGCTTTAGATCAGGTGGCTGGAGGCAAGACGGTGGTTAGAGCAGATGCTGATAGCGCGAAAGATGAGACAGCTCAATGGGCTCTTCGGGTACAATGGAAGCATCGACATGCTGCTCGTCACTCGGCTCAGTCGACGGGCTCAT